AATATCTATATACATACATAAACAATATATATGCATTTATATATATAAATAATAATACACCATATACTAAACACTAATAATATATATACATAATAATATACATATATATCACCAATATAAAATATCGACACTAACATACTGGATTATACATTGTGCATAATATATTATTTCTACATAGTAACTATTTAAATATAAATATATATAAATATATATACACCATATAATATACACCCCAGATAATTTATATATATATATAAACATAATATATATAATATATATTTATATATATATATATACTTCAAATATAGCTATATAATATATATATATATATAATATAATAATATAATACTATATATATACTGTATAAATATACATGTATATATACATTATATTACATTAATATAATGATATATACATGTATATATATATATTATATATATATATATTCATATTGATACCATATATATACATGTATTTTTTATACCATGTATTATACCATTATTCACTCAATATGAAAGCCCAGACGCCTATCCTCAATTATAATATACACTATCTATATTATATTCCTAGCTACATCTATCAATATAATACCACGTTACCCATATACCATTCACTACACTCCCACCACTCATCCAACTACGTATCGATAATCACATACTCATCAATCTCCCTACGCACTCAATAATACACTAATACTTGCCTTAAAATATTTCATAACACATACTCCCAACACTACTCAAATTAATGCCTACTCACTATTACACGCCAATAATACATACCAACCTCAAGACACTTCTAACTACATACAATTGCAAAACCTCCCAAAATATAGGACTCACTATCCACAAAGCGACTACTATACTACCTAACCTATATACTATATAACTACAAACAACTCAAATTCTATCCAATTTACGACACCTCACTCTCTAACCAAGTTATGAGACTATACTACACACATAAACTAGTTAGCCCATCATCCGATCTCCATAATACTTTATCCAGCGCCTTCGACTGACTACACACACAAAAGTACTACTTCATTATTATAGCGATACTACAACTAATACCAGTCACTATACACTACATACACCACGACTAACCATATTATCCCACTACTAACATACTAAACCACTATATACAACATCCCATACACATCCAACCAACAACCATCTACACACACCACACACACCCCATACGCTTCATGTAAAATATACCCACCATACTCCGCTTATAGCCTACTCTTCCATATACTAGCCTACTCTCGATCACATTATTATAGTCTATCTACCTCACTATCATTAAGACACTCTACCACTAATACTAGTGATACCTTCATACTATAATTACATAATTACACTATATACATATACACTATACCTATTACATACAATTATATACATATACTATATATAATACAGCTATATAACATGTACACCCAGTAACACATTATAAAATACAATGCTAACTCGCAGATACACATATAATAGTTATATCTAATAACATAACTACATCACACAATATGTAGTACTATATATTATATACTCCTATACATATATATAATAAGCTCTACTAACTAACTACTATACACTCATACATTAACTATATACCCTCATACTATACCTGATGTATACTAACTATATATATCACTAAAAAGAACCGTAAACCAACGCAATCTACATATTCATTACACTTATACCATGTTCTAATACAGATAACAACATACATACATATATAACAACATACATTACAGATTAATACCATACAATATAATTAATATCAACAATCTATACGATAAGAGTGCGAATTAATGTTATACCAAGAGCTCCCTAGATAATATCAAACAACCTAAATTAACACCACAGCCAACATATAGACATTCTAAAACCACTAAATTTAAACCAGTCCAAACAAGTGTACATCGACACCAAGGTCATGTTAATGAATAAAAATATTTCAAAAATCATCTTCTAGAGATATACATAAACTAATCACTACACTGAAAGAATTTTATATTACTGACTATTATTACTATACGACAATTTACACTGAGAAGAATAAATCCATTCAACATCCATAAACACAAATCGCTTTCTAAATCACATAACAATCTACACAATTATATAACAAAGTACTACATGGATATATGCCACTGATAGCAAAACATCTCAATCCACAGCATAATAAAAATATAGAAAAAGAGAAGTGGGAAAACTATAACACATCATACACCAATCTTCCGTCATACACTAATCCATGTAAACATACCGCACACACCCAAACACACAAATAATCAGCCCAACAATTCCTCACTTACAAGTTACTCTCCTACAAAATCATCATAATCGCTATGCAAGCCTAACCATGCTATCTGCATGTTTCCACAATCCCACACAAAACAAATGCCCAAACATAATTAAATGATCAATATCATTTCCTAAAACAAATAAACCATGAAACACACAATCAAGACAATCATTACATCCACACTAAACATCATCCAATCCATCCAATAATTATCCGATAATATGAATTTATCAACCAACAAAACAATACTCACTGATGATGATGAAGTGATGCATGCAGATGATATGATCGAGAACTCTGACAATAGTATAGATGATGATGAATGATGATGATGATGTCTCTCTATCGATATCGACATGTCTGATATAGCAATCTGTCATGCATCTCTACACTACATCGACTGATATGAGCTCACTCACGAATGACTTGATGCATAACTAATGCTTACTGCGCGAAATGTGATCAGATATAGATCACGAATGAATATGCATATCGAATGATATGAAATCTGATGCATATGCATCAATTCATGCTATGCATGATACTATATCATCGTCATTGATCGATGCAATTGAATGTCATCTCTCGATGACTGACATGGAAGATTGTATAGATACATTAATAATGATGGACTGTACGCATGCAATGCATGACCTAATATGATCTGATGAAACTTCTCTAGATTAATGTTAGATATCACTGACAATCCACTCCTTCATGAGCAGCTACCACAGCCTATTCTACACTTAACCACCTATACACCTCTCCGGCGATGAATTTGATCAATCGTGATACATCTGTATGTAATGGTGATCTCTCGATGGTTATAGACATGTATTATAGCATTCGATCGCCATGATGATGAATGTATGCTGCATAAGTCAGCGAATCCTGATAGTAGATTGCATTGGGAACTGGTCTGATGTGAATTGGATGGTGACAAGAATAGAAAATACACGATCATAAATAAAATACGACCAACTATCTCGAATACTTTAATTACAAAATAAAAAAAGGATATAATCACGCACATAAGCAATCTACTAAACAACCACAAAATAACCAAATAAACACGTAAAACAAAGTTATAAATAGACCATACGATCTAAAACATACTAAGTATTAAAAATAAGGAAAAGAAAAATGGAAACAAAAATAAAGTAGAATTACCAATTAAGACTCAAAATATACACACGATAAAATTATAAAGTAATAAACCACCATTATATAGAATAAATAAACAACTTCGCACACAATCACATACATCCACATACAACAAATGCCGATATTACACCCGATCCACATCAGATACGAAATAACAGACGTAAAAAACACATGAAATTAAGAATGAAATAAGACAATAGAAGAGAGAACACTAACCTATTCTATATGTGACGTCGCAAAAACACAATAAACACAATATACAATAATAAAATAAATAACAAAAAAACTCTAAAATAAAAAAAATAAACAATACAGAGAAGAACACACAACTCAAGCCATAAGAAGTGAAACAACAAAAGTCAGAAGCAAGTCAAAAAGAGTAAAAACAAAACAAAACAAGAAAAATAAATGAAATAAAACTAGAAAGGTAGAATTAGCAATGGAAATGGAAATAAAAATAAAAATAAAAATAAAAATAAAATAAAATAAAAAATCTAAAACTAGAACTAAACAAAATAGAAATCAAATCAAATAAAATCAAAATAAGGATTATTATTACCATTATTATCATTATCATTATCATTATCATTTCATTATCTTATCATTATCATTATCATTATCATTATCATTATTATCATATATCATTATCATTATCATTATCATTATATAATCATTATCATTATCATTATCATTATCATTATCATTATCATTATCATTATCATTGCATCATTATCATTATCATTATCATTATCATTATCATAATTCATAATCATAATCATAGTAATGATAATGAATAATGATAATGATAATGATCATATCATTATCATTATCATTACTATTATTATCATTATCATTATATTATTATTATTACTATCATATTATTACTATCATTATTTACTATCATTATTACTATTATTATTATTGTTATTATTATTATTATTAATATTATAACATTAAAATTAATATTATATCCTCCTATATTACTTATTATACATCTACTATTATTATATATTATTAATTCTATTTATTATTATATTATTATTATTATTATATTATTATTATTATTATTATCATTGATTATAATATTGATTATTATATATATATGCATATTACTATTCACTATTTACAAGAAACTATCATCACTATTACTACCATAACTACTAATTACTATTACTATTACAACTATTATCATTATTATCTTATCTATTATCATTATAAGATTCTCTATCCATCATATACATCCTTATTCATAACTATTATGCTATTATTTACCTTTATACCTATTATTTACAATAATTATTATTAGCATTATTATTATTATTATTATTATTATTATTATTATTATTATTATTATTTTAATTATATTATAATATTATATTATTTATATATTGATAATAATATATATCAATTTACCATTATATTCAATAATACCACTATCAAGTATCAGTAGTTATCATTATCATCTATATAATAATTTCCCCATAACAAAAAAATAATGAATAAATTATTATAAATATAAATTAATATACACACATAATATTATCACATCATGTATATCAACATCATCACTTAACCATTAATATCATCGTATCATATCAAATTTCAATCATTATCATTATCATCATTACTAATTATCAGCATAACTCAGCATTATTGATGGCATTATTATCATCATTATTATTATCATTGTTATTATCATTGTCATTGTCATTGTCATTGTTATAATCATTACTATTACTATTATTATCATTACTATTATCTTTATTATCATTATTACTATTATCTTTATTATCATTATTACTACTATTATTATTATTGTTACCATTACCATTACCATTACCATTACCAGTACCATTACTATGACTATGACTATGACTATGACTATGACTATGACTATGACTATGACTATGACTATGACTTGACTATGACTGACTATGACTATGACTATGACTGACTATGACTATGACTATGACTATGACTATGACTATGACTATGACTATGACTATGATTATGACTATGACTATGACTATGACTATGACTATGATGACTATGACTATGACTATGACTATGACTATGACTATGACTATGACTATGACTATGACTATGACTATGACTGACTACTATGACTATGACTATGACTACTGACTATGACTACTATGACTATGACTATGACTATGACTATGACTATGACTATGACTATGACTATGACTGACTGACTATGACTATGACTATGACTATGACTATGACTGACTATGACTATGACTATGACTGACTATGACTATGACTATGACTATGACTATGACTATGACTATGACTATGACTATGACTATGACTATGACTATGACTATATGACTATGACTATGACTATGACTATGACTATGACTGACTGACTATGACTATGACTATGACTGACTATGACTATGACTATGACTATGACTATGACTATGACTATGACTATGACTATGACTATGACTATGACTATGACTGACTATGACTATGACTATGACTATGACTATGACTATGACTATGACTGACTATGACTATGACTATGACTATGACTATGACTATGACTATGACTATGACTGACTGACTATGACTATGACTATGACTATCATTTTTATTATTACTTTTATTATTACTATCATCATTATCATTATCATCATTATCATCATTAATTACAATGATGATAATAATGATACTGAGAATGATAATAATGATAATCATGATAGCAACATTGATTAAAAAAGATAAATAAATAAATAATAATAATAATAACATCCAATGAACAAAGCTAACGACTCACCTATGAGGTTTGGAATGTAAAGGAGAATGCTATAATTCGGCCTCGGCTTGCCTCCCTTCTCTTCTTTCTGTGGGGATGGAGAGGCCACACAGCCATTCATCACCGTCTTCTCTGAACCAGCCATGGCCGTTAATGCTCAGCTGGGTTGCCACAAAGCACCCTAAAGGGTAGGTAAAACAAGGATAAATTTTGTTCTAAAATATATAAATATTATATAAAAAGCTATTGCAGGTCTGTTCTCTGGGTCTTAAAATGCTACAAAGTACAGCAGACATCTTGATATGCTAACAATTTTTGTCAGAATAATGATGTAATGAAATATATACAATATACTGCATATCATATCTAAAATCTTTAAAAATAAGTTTAAAATATAAAATAACAAACTTGTTACTTAAGTAATAAGAAAGATATCTGTTAATGTTATCTAAATAAAGTTAAAAACAATATAAAACACATATATTTTTTTAAAATCTGCTATTAAAGATAAATCTGCCATTCTTAATGTAATGCATGCAATTTCTAAAATCTATGTCATTTAGCACTGCCACTGAAAGGTTACGTTTCGATTTTTGGGTATGCATGAAACCCAAATGTTTAGGGTTGTGTGCAAAAACCATTATCTATTTTAATTCTTTTGTGTCTTGCCTTTTCAGAAAATCCAACTTTTTCGCATGTCATTGCAAAGAGGAAATGTTTTGTTTAAATCTGGTTTAAGGACACTTTTGGTAATAAAAACCCAGAATATTAACCATTATGCAGGTTACCTAGGATATCACACATGTCAAAATATACATTTGATCCTAAAAAATTATACAATATACACAAGTTCAGAAAAAAGTTTTCACAGATTATCATTATTTTCCTCAGTTCTACATATAGTTCTATAATGAGTTTTGAGCACAAACTGACACTTTACAATGCCAAAAGGTCCTAAACCTCATGATTCAATATTCACTTTTAGCTATATATCATAAAAATCAAACCCTAGGCCTAAAATCGGAAAACACAAAGTCTTGCCTACCTTGCAATTTTGAACTTTTTTGGCTGATTGTTTTACTTCTTCAATATCTTTATTACCGATTACAAACCTTACACTCAAGAAGGACTGAACGCAGATTAGTTGTAGTATCAAGGATTCTCCTCACTACTTTCACGAACAAATGACCTTCTCTTATTACATCACAATACATCCCCCCGAAACGTTTAATATCTGAATACTCTTCTATTTTGAGGTAGGTGTAATTACTGTAGTATAAACATCTATTCACATTACTAACAAGAAATATATTTTAATCCTCCCCAAAACTGTACAACGTATATTTCTCCTATTTTTTTTCCTGATACAGAGGACTCAAATTCTTTTATGTTGTTTTTTACCTAGGAATCTCACCTTTGAAGTTAATAGTAGTAGTAGCCGACGTACAGGCAGGTGCAGCTTGAGAGACGATTGCCTTTTACGTAAATTTTATTTTCTTTCGATTCGTACGTCGAATGCGTTATCACGAACCCTTGATTTATTTCCCTTTGTTTGTTATATTTCGATATGCACGAGTCTGTAGTAGAGTATAATTAATTTTTGACATTTTTATTGAAAACTGAAATAGGTAATTGGCAATCTTTGACGTAGATGTAAACATTTCATGACGAACGCGATGACGTAATAGCGCGGTCTGTTTGATATTGAATTCTGCTCGTGAAGTGAGAGGAAAAAGATTCGTAGCAGCACTCCTGTTCGGCTTTTCAAATTTGCAGCGCAAATTGACTGCAACTGTATTAAAGCAACTTCAATTTCTTGCATTTCTAAGTCTATATCTGTTATAATTAAATAAAGCCTTACGAAGACTCCCTTCTCCTCAGAGTAATTAAATTATCAAACGGCCCCAGTGAGGTAGGCGGGGAGTACCCCCAACATATTTGTGAATTGTTGACTTTGTATTCAGTGATGAACAGTTTAGTGATAACTTCTAGAAAGCAACACTAGAACGTACAAGTAAACAATTCAGTCATGCGAGGCACAAGATCGAAGCGTCAAAGGCATCTCTAGGGAAGCTCTGAGAAGATAGCAGAACCTTCCCCGTTTAAGATCCTGGCTATGTCAGATTTACTCCGGCGAGCGAACTAATACTGAATATATTGAGAATTTACTCAAGTAATTCCCAGATATTTCATTAGATAAAGGCTTTATATGTATAAAGTTACATCTATGCTGGTTGTTTAGTTACATATCATTGCAAGAAAAATTTTCTTCGCCCTCTCACGCCCTAAACCACCGAAGTCCAAGGAAAAAATGGAGTCTGTCCGTTTAACAGATACTCAGGTTGTGAGAGGGCATGCATCATGCTAAAGGCAGTGCGAGGCCGAAGGAGCAGTGGCAGCAGGATCATTCGATTGCCGGGACTGAGTCTGCACAGCTTCACTCAGCCTCCAGGAATCCTATCTCTCAATTCACATGGATGACAATGCAAAGCAACATTTGTGGGCAGGTGAAACCCCGAATGGAAGGCCCAGGGAAGGTTGTGACCCTACTTATCGGATCAGCATTTTGGAATCAGTCGGTTATTCCCTCCCAGAGACCCGAGACCACCAGCTGGAGAGTTATCCCCAAGTCTGATCCAAAATCTCCAGTTATTTATGTTCGACATGCACGCCGATACCACTGTCCATGGTCTTGCCAGTGTTATCATAGTCTTTCTAAAGTTGTGCTGGTGCACCACACGACTTCGAGGGCATGTCAGCACTGGAGGTTTCCCACTCATGGCACACCTGTGGGAAGTAGAACAGGCACGTGCTGTCCTTGAACACCGCCACACCGAACCGTGGAGCGATTCCCGAATAACTATGGTGGTTGGGTGTAGAAAAAAGTAGTATCTGCATTATGCTCAGTGCATGGCCTTAACTTTTCATGTTAAAATGCTATGAATCATAGACGTAGCTTATAAGTAGGGACTGACCCCTCCTGCCCGTGCCAAAAGATGGTTCCCCATCGCTGGTAGTAGGACTGCAGGAAAGGCATATCCTAGCGATCTACACCATTATTTGGTTAATTACAGAGGGCGTGACAATTTCCTTGGCAGTGTTTCTCGTACTTCCTCAAACACAGAGATACTATCTATTTTGTCTTGTTCCTATACTTTACCATATTGATATATGGCCTTTGATGTCTAACACGTTTATTTGTTACAACCATTGAAAAAGGCCACTGGAAAATAAAAGTATTTCATGATATAATTCAAGAACACCACAAGGATCAAGCTACATTATTACACTTTCGAAATCTCTATTTTTAGTAGCTAATCCTAGTCTAAGTTTATTTTCCATAATTTCGGTATCAATGTATTGAAACATCGTTATATATATATATATATATATATATATATATATATATATATATATATATATATATATTATGGAAGATGGAATAATGCACTGCCGCATTGATATAGAGAGATAACAACCCTACCTGACCAGGACTCGAACAGGGACGACTCCAGATATGAACCTTGAGGACCGGTACTAAACCAACTATACCAAACAAATCACTAAATGAAGTGTGCAACTAGGGTCTAACTGGCTCCATAGACATTACCTACCTACTCTTACTACTCTTAGTAAAGTTTTATATTTACAAACATGTTTATGCACACACACACACACACACACACACACACACACACACACACATACACATATATATATATATATATATATATATATATATATGTA